TCTCCAACATGGTTAGCTTCTTTCAGAATATAGTGCTTTGACTGATTTTTCATTGTTAAACTATGAGTAGCAAATAATTTAATTGTATTCTTTGACATTGATTGGCTCCTCTCTTATATATATATCTTCTTCCCTACAAATCTTAAATTGATGGTTAAGCTAGATAATGGATATGTTGTGAAAGTAGAAGGTAGCTTTCCTTAATGTCTAAATCATAAAATTAAGTGAAGGAGTAAGTAGTAGGACTACATGCTTTGGCTCTCATTCCTTGTGAATTGTTTTTGCTCTCGGAGGAATGTTTTCTGTTAACGTCCTGAATCCTGGTATTAAAATATGGATTTTAGGAAGTGGGGAAGTCTCATTTTTCATTATTTTACAGAACCTGGGAGTATTGAATAAAAGTTAGAATTCCTTGCCCTAGCTTATGGCTGCATATAGACATTCCTTGTGTTGTGTAGTTTCTTCACTGCATCAAAGTGGAAGCCAGTGGAAACCCCCCAGCCCAGTGCTTTGACTCCCCTTAGCCACTGTTGTTATATGTTTTAGATTATGCCAGAAGAATACCTTCTTGTCCATTCTATTTCTCTGATAAAAGACATATAATTTTTGGTTATGAATGATACTGAAAAGCCGTATACCATCTCATACTACTATAAGTCGAAACACCTAGCGGCCATACACAATTAGTGGAGGCAGCTAGTTTCCATTAACAAATGCATGATCAAATTCTGTGGTCAAACAAAAGTTAGATGCCCCATGTTTTTAAAAAAGTCACAGATGGAATTACTACAGTGGGGAAGGGTTTAACATCGTGACCTAAGATTTACTCTTAAGTTTTTATGACAACATCACTACAGTATCTATTTTCTCTTTACGTCATTTCTATCAATAGTGAGACTTACAGAACTCTCAAATATCAGCTATAGAAAAAGGAAAGAGAGGAAAGTAGGACTGTTAAGGACCAAACATTTCACATACTTCACTCATTTAATTCTCACAAATCTGTTATGAGTTGTAGGTGGTTATTTTCATTTTACAAAAGAAAAAACTGAGTCTCAGAAAGGTTATGTGACTTACCCTTCCAACAAGTAACATACAAATACACTTTTTTCCCCTTTACAATGCTTTTGCTTTATTATTTCATGTTTGAAGTATTTGAGCCCATGAGATTCATTTTATTATTGAGGATGACTCAAAAATCATTCTTCTCCATAGTGCTGTCCTATTATATGAAAACAACATTTACCAGAGTGACACTTTTTATCAGCCCCATCTTGCCCCTGGCCTCACTGTTGAATGGACAGTTTTCTTGCCCTTTCACTGCAACAAGTCCTTAGCATTGGTTAATGCTATTTCAGTGCAGTGGCATATATTGAGTTCTTACTATGTATTTCAGTTTGGATGCTTTTAGACATAAGAAATAGAAAATTTAATGTGAATTGAGTTAAGCTGTAAGGAAAATGTATTAAGAAAGCTTGGGTAGTGTGGCTATAGAGTAGGTTAATTCATTGGTTCAGCAAACATCAGGGACTCAGATTCCTTCCATCCTTTGGCTCTGTTGTCATCGTGTTTGGCTTTGTCCTCTGCCAACATCTCTTGAGGCTGCAAGATGGCTGCTGTTTTTAAGGTATCACATACAGACATGACAATTTCTCATGAAAGGAGGGGCTATATCTTACATGTATCTTTTCAAGTGAGAAGAAACTTTCTCCAGAAACCTTTCTGTAGGTTTTCTCTCATGTCTCATGTACCAGATTATTACCATGTTCCTGTATTTAAGCTGAACACTGGCAAGAGTAATGAGCCTCCATGTTTGCCTTGGATTAGACTAATCAGAACTCGCCTCCTGGAGCTGGGGCAGGTTTTTCCCTCCTGGGAAGCTCATAGTCTCTTAGAGGAAGGTGGGGAGCCAAAACAAAATCAGGGTTAGATTAGGAAGGTAGAAATAATTGTTGGGATAGGAGAGCCAACAGTATCCACTATGCTATGAGTAAAACATACTGTTCTGTTCTGGGGTTTAGCTTACTCAAGGCGCTTGAGATCTAGCTGTGAAAACTGAAGTGAAAAATAATTCTAATACAAGGAGAACTGTTAGTTTTAATAGGTAGTTTAGGGAAGGTGCAGAAGAGGGAGTAGTGGTATACTAGAGAAAATTTGGGATTTTGAGCCAGTGGTATATTAGAGAAAACAGGATTTTGAGTTCTAGCCAGTATACTTTCTAGTTATAACTATAACTAGATTTTCTATTAATTTTTGAACAATACATATTTGGTTTAAATATACATGTTTATTCTCAGTTCCTAATTTCATTGTTAAGAGATTGAGGATTTTTATTTTTTTATTTTTTATTTTTTTAAAAAATATATCTTTATTGATTTCAGAGAGAGGAAGGGAGAGGGAGAGAGAGAGAGAAACATCAATGATGAAAGAGTCATTGATCGGCCGCAGCCCACAACCCGGGCATGTGCCCTGACCAGGAATTGAACCCCGATCGCCTGGATCCTAGGTCGACGCTTTAACCACTGAGCCACGCCCGGCCAGGCGAGATTGAGGATTTTTAAAATTATGTTTTTATCATGATCATGTTATATCTATAACTACTAGAGTAAGAGTCAGTATTTTGATTCTTCATAGCTTACCAGCTAGCTGTGTGACATTGGGCAAATCAGTTAATATTTCTGATTGTTATTTGCCTTGGACAAAATGAAGGAATTAAACAAGGTAAATTTTGAGGTTCTTTTCTGTCTAACATTTAGTAATTTTTCTAAAATCTTATTTGGAATAAGAATGGAAGCAGTTTTAAATATATTTACCAAAGAGAGCTGTGTGAGTAAAATTTAATATATCCCTCACTGTTTAAAGTTTTATTTGATATTAGAAAATAATCTGAACTAATATAAATTTAGATGTTCTGAACCTTTTAAAACTGAAATGTGTCTTTGGAAGTAGATGTTTACTAGGAGCTCTTAAAATAATAGTTATAAAGTATAATAATTGAGATTATCATGCTATATCTACTTGCATTTCCCAGACAACATTAAGGTGTCAAAATTTGGCCTAAAATTGTTCTTGTGTAGCTAATAGTACAGTAGTCCCCCTTATCCACGTGGAATATATTCCAAGACCCCCAGTGGGTGCCTGAAACTGTGGATAGTACCGGACCCTATAAATACTAGGCTTTTTTTCCTATACATCCATACACTTTATGGCTTCTCTTTGGCATGTTTAAGTAAAATAAAAGTTACTTGACAAGCATTGTGATACCCCAACAGTGATCTGATAACCAAGATGGTTACCAAGACTAAACGGTGGTAGCATATACAGTGTAGATACTCTGGACAAATGGATGCTTCAAGTCCCTGGCAGGATGGAGTAGGATGGTGTGAGATTTCATCATGCTATTCAGAATGGCACACACTTTAAACTTATGAATTGTCTATTTTGGAATTTTTCACTTAATATTTTAGGACTGAGGTTGACCATGGGTAACTGAAACCACAGATAAGGCAGGGAGGACTACTATACTTGCACTTTTCTGTAGTCTGTATAATTTTTTGGAGTGACATGATGCTTTGAAACTTAGTGTCTAGTCTAAGAATATTATTTCTTTAATATTGTAATGCCTTTGCTATTGAACATAAGAATCATTGGTTTATTATACATTTTGTGCCTACTCATTCAGGTTATTTTCAAGGTGCTATGGAAGAAAATGAGATGTTAACTGTGGTTTCTGGCTTAACTTAAAATCTAGTAAAAAAATTTAAAAAACATATTCATATTTAAAAAACACTGAATTCAGATATTTATTGGTTTTTCCATTTAGAACAGACCAAACATCAGCTGGTCTTTCTATAAATCAAGTTCTCATTTAAAGGTTCTCATCTCTTTTCTGTAAAAAGAACTAACAAATATTCAGATGGCTTATTAGACTCTAAAAAATGTGTATCAAGGGTAGATGAACTTGTTTTAGTGGAGGAGCTTTTTCTTCAGATCTGCACAAATCTCTGAATTTTGAAAAGGCAATATAGGGTAGGTTGATCTCTAAGCAGTCAACAACACTGGTATTATTGGCCATCTTTTCTGTGGTTGGTTTTCAGTTCATGCAATGATATATTTTAAAGTTTTGACTCTGCTTTTTTATTTCCTAGAGGAATATTTTAAGTGTTCTAAAATAACTGGGTGATTGACACCCTTGACTTAACACAAAGTATAATGTCTGTATATCCTCCTCTTATGAGCATGACTGTACAGGATCTGCAGAAGGTGTGTCTTCTTTTGCTGCTGCTGTTTTTATTCGTGGACTCTGCTAGGGCAAACTAGATATCCCCAGCTAAATAAAATGAAGTTACTTGGGTTATTGAATGTTCCTCTTGCCGCATTCCCACTTAACTGATCATTACACCTTCACATTGCCCTGCACTTACTTAGAAGTAAAAGTAAATGTCCATGTTTGTCCTTTACTAATGGCTGCCCTACAAAGTGCTTCAAGGAAAGAAAAAGAACCCTTATTAAAGCCCAACATATTTTTATAATTAAAAGTGTATCTAAATGCTGAATTTATTTTACACTAAACTTCACATTTTAGGAACTACTATTTAGCTCTACTACCTTGTCAAATATGTGTAGTCACAAAAATAGCCATTTGTTTTTGATGAGTGTCTGAAGTAAAGATAAATGCAGTAGTAAGGGGGAGTGAAAAGTAAAATTTCATGCCCTTATGAGGGGAAAAGGGCTTGAGTTGGAGTCAGCTTACGCCAATTGGTGGTTATGTTGCTGCTCCTCTGTCTGAGAGAGTTAGAATGTGAAAAACCTATATATAAAATAAAAACAAATGTTCTCTCAGTACTCATGTAACTTTGTAGAAGGTGTCAAGTGAATGCAAGATGTATGAGAGAGGGCTAATTAAAAATTAAGGGATATACTTGGTTCTTTATTCATAAAAAGGAAAGTGTTCATAGAGTGATCCAGAAAACTAACTGTTTGTTTGTTTATTTGTTTAGGATGGATTGGATGCTTTGGTATATGATTTGGATTTTCCTGCCTTAAGAAAAAACAAAAATATTGACAACTTTTTAAGCAGATGTAAGTAATTTTTGTGGAGGTTAATCACAGATTGTATATAATGAAATCTTGACTTAGATAATTCAAGCCTTTTTTCCCCTTTTTGTCTACTCTGGTTATTTCATCAATAGTTTGTACATAAAATGAGTGAAATGGGAAAGAAACTTTATTAGTCAGTTTGGGTGCCTATTAAAATCTATAAAATATTTTGCACATTAGGGAATGAAAAGTAAATGGCAAAAATAAGTCTATTAAAATAAGCATATACATATATGCACATTAAATTTCAGTAAGGTTATATTTATTCTCTATTTTCCTTGTATAAATGAATTGGCTGTTATATTTTATTACCTGTAGGTAAGAATAGATTACTTATGAAAAGCCCTCCTGAGATATGAGAATTTTCTTTATGAAAGCTGGCTTTTATTTAAATTTTACAGATATTCTTTTCTAAAAACATTGTTTTGGGTTTTTATATTAGATGTTGTCATTTAAAATTTTGATTAAAAACTTATTAAAATTGTTTCAAAAACTTGATGGTAAGATTTAGATCATAAAATTTTCCCTACTCCTTATCTTTATTTCTTTTACCTAAACCATACATATTGATACATTTAGGCTGGGTTGGTTTTAGTGTTATCTTTCAATTTTGGTTACATATGTTTGGTTAGAAAACATTTGTTTTTCTAAGTAGTCAAACGGTTTTACTTTGTTGTAGTTTCTTTTATTATTTGTACACTTGGAAATCTTGCCTCAGAATTTTACTTATCAATTTTATGGTTTAGTTTTCTGTTTTGTGTTTTTTTTTTTATAAAAATATTTATTCAACCTTAATTTCATTTTGGAATATGGTGCCAGAGTCTGAATGGGGACTTTTAAAATATGAATGTTTTTTAGATTTCTCACATCTTAACTGAAATTGCAGGAAATTTTTATTATTGTTTACATTTGGTTACCTTCCTACTTAACAGTATATAGCAAAATAACTAAAAAGGTGGAGAAACATGACCATTTCTTATTTGACGGGAGGCAAAGGATAAATGCTCATTAATACAAAGGGGAATGTGTAACTTTGTAGAGTTAAGAGTATTAGGAATTGGAACACATATTTTCTTAATCTGTTACTCCTTTTGCTATGCAGCATTCATTCATAATATTAAGTATGCCTTTATATTACATTTTATAAGTAGAAACATCAGTAATCACAAAAGAATTAAGTAAAACAAAATGAAAACATAAAGCTAACATAAACAGATAAACCAGTGTATTTTATAGCCTGGCTTTTGCTTTTATTTTTTTTGTTCTTTAAACAAAATAATTAATTTTTAAAATTTAATTATTAATTAAATAATTAAATTTTATTTTTTAAATTACAATTTACATTGAATATTATTTTATATTAGTTTCAGGTACACAAGCATAGTGGTTAGATAATCAGATACTTTCCAAAGTATTACACTGATATTTCCAGTACCACCCACCTGGCACCATACATAGTTATTACAATATTATTGACTGTATTCCGTAGGCTGTACTTTACATCCCCATGACTATTTTGTAACTACATATTTGTACTTCTTAATCTTAACCTTTTTCATCCAGTCCCCTCTGATAACCATCAGTCTGTTCTCTGTGTCTGTGAATCTGTTTAGTTTTGTTTATTCATTTATTTTGTTCTTTAGTTTCCATATATACATGAAATCATATGGTATTTGTGTTTCTCTGACTTATTTCACTTAGTATAATGTCCTCTAGGTCCATCCATGTTGTTGCAAATGGTAAGATTTCATTCTTTTTTATGTGTGAGTAACATTCCACTGTATATGTGTATCACATCTTCTTTATCCAGTCATCTATTGATGAGCACTTGATATATCTTGGCTATTGTAAATAAAGCTGCAATGAACATAAGGGTGCATATATTCTTTCCAATTAGTGTTTTTGTTTTTTTTTCCGGATATATACCCAGAAGTGGACTCTCTGGGTTATATGGCAGTTTCATTTTTAATTTTTTGAGGACTCTCCATACTGTTTTACATAGTGACTGCATTCCCACCAACAGTGCAGGAGGGTTTTCTTTTCTTCACATCCTTGTCAACACTTGTTGTTTGTAGATTTGTATTGTTGATAGCCATTCTGACAGATGTGAGATGATATCTCATTGTGGTTTTAATCTGCATTTCTCAGACGATTAGTGACATTGAGGATCTTTTCATAAGTCTGTTGGCCATCTTTATGTCCTCTTTGGAGAAGTATCTGTTCAGGTTCTCTGCCCATTTTTTAATTGGATTTTTTTTTAGTGTTGAGTTGTCTGAGTTCATTATAAATTTTGGATATTAATGCTCAATGAGATGTATCATTGGCAGATATTTTCCCCCATTCAGTAGGTTGCCTTTTTGTTTTGTTGATGGTTTCCTTTGCTGTGCAAAAACTTTTTAGTTTGATGTAGTCCCATTTGTTTAATTTTTGTTTGTTTGTTTGTTTCCCTTGCCCAAGGAGATATATCAGAAAAAATATAGCTATGAGAAATGTCTCAGGATTTTACTGCCTATATTTTCTTTTAGGAGTGTTGTGGTTTCAAGTCTTACATTTGCATCTTTAATCCATTTTGAGTTTATTCTTGTATATGGTGTAAGAAAGTTGTCTAGTTTCATTTTTTTGGTATGTATCTGTTCTGTTTTCCCAACACCATTTATTGAATAGACTTTCTTTACCCCATCGTATGTTCTTGCCTCCTGTCTGAAATATTAATTGGTCATATGGGCATGGGTTTATTTCTGGGCTCTCTATTCTGTTCCATTAATCTGTGTCTGTTTTTATGCCAGCACTATGCTGTTTCGATTACTATAGCCTTGTAGTATGGTTTGATTCAAGTATTGTGATACCTCCAACGTTGTTGTTCTTTCTCAAGATTGCTGTGGCTAATTGGGGTCTTTTGTGGTTCCATATAAATTTTGGGGTTATTTGTTCTGGTTTTATGAAAAACACCACTTATTATGATAGAAATTATATTGAATCTATAGATTGCTTTGGGTAGTATGGACATTTTAATGATGTTAATTCTTCTTACCCATGAGCACGTATATGCTTCCACTTATTTGTATCTTCTTCAGGTTCTTTCTTTACTGTGTTCTAATATCCTGAGTACAGGACTTTTACCTCATTGGTTTAATTTATTCCTAGGTATTTTTTATGCAATTGTAAATGGGATTGTTTTCTTAGTTTCCCTTTCTGATAGTCTAGTTTTTAAATTGCAGAAAAGTACAGAGACTAATAAAACAAAATTTTAGTAAATCATATCTAGCGTTAAGTAACAGTTGTTACTAAGGAGGGTTTATACCAGGATTGCAAAGTTAGTTTAAGGTTCAAAAATCAATTACCATATTAACATGCTATAAAATAAAATCCATAATACCATCTCAGTAGATATAGAAAACGCATTTAATAAAATTCAGTATTTATTCTTTTTATTTATTTTTTAATATACCTTTATTGATTTCAGAGAGAGGAAAGGAGAGAGACAGAAACGTCAGTGATGAGAGTCATTGATAGGCTGCCTCCTGCACGCCCCCTGACTGGGAATTGAACCTCAGTCTCCTGGATCATAGGTCGATGCTCAACCGCTGAGCCACTCTGGCCTGACCAGTATTTATTCTTGATTTAAAAATATCTCTCTGCCACCTAGGACTTGAAGGAAAACTCCTTTACTTTGATAAAGAGAATCTATAAAAAAATGTATCGTTCACATTGTATTTGTGTATGATTAAATGCTTTTTCTTTAAGATTGGAAAAATTCAGTCTTTTCTCACCACTTTCATTCAACATTGTCCTAGGAGTTTTAGTGCAATTAGATAAAAAAAGAAAGAAAATTATATAGATTAAAACAGAAGAAGTAAAATTTTATTTATTCAGACAATATGCTTTTCTGAGTAAAAAATCCTCAAGATTCTACAAAAAAGCTTTAAGAACTAAGTTGAACACAATTGCAGGTTAGAAGATAAAATACAAAAAGCAATTCTATTTCTATATATTAGCAACAAGCAATTTGAAATAGATATCATAACAAATATAGCACTATTTGCAATAGAAGAAAAACATGAAAATGTCATAAATTTGACAAAATATGTGTAAGACTCGTGTACTGAAAACTACATAATATTACTTAGAGAAATTAAAAGAAAAAAGTAATAATAAAGAATAGATATTCAGTCCTGGCCAGTTTGGCTCAGCGGTTAGAGCATCAGCCTGCAGGCCAAAGAGTTCCATTCCCAGTCAAGGGCCCATACCTTGGTTGCAGGCTCCACCCCTGGCCCTGGTTGGAGTGTGGGCTGGAAGCAACCAGTTGATGTGTCTCACATTGATGTATCTCTCTCTCCCCTCCTCAACCCTCCCCTTCACTCTCTCTTAAAAAATCAATGGAAAAAATATCCTCTGATGAGGATTAAAAAAAAAAGAATAGATATTCAATGTTCTGGATTGGAAAATTCAATATTAAAATGTTAAGTGCCCCCAAATTAATTGATCTATGGAGCCCATGTATTCTCATAACCTTAAGTAGCACCTTTTTCTGTAAAGTGACCAGCAATTCTAAAATTCATATGGAAAGTTGAAGGGTGGGATAGCCAAACAGGTTTGAATAGTAAGAGCATAGTTGGAAGACTAACATTACTGGATTTCAATATCAAGACAGTATAATTAATATTATTTAAAGAATAAACACATAGATAAATAGAACAGAATAGAGTCCAGAAATAGATTCATACATATACAGTCAATTGATTTTCAACAAAGAGAAGATAATTTAATATTCAGCCTAACTTTACACCATATATAAAATTTAACTCAAAATGTATCATAGACCTAAATGTAAGAGCTAAAACTATAATATTTTCAGAAGAAAACATATGAAATATTTGTGACTTTGGTTAGGCAAGCATTTCTTAGATGGAACACAAATAATACAAACCACGGTGGTGGTGGTTGTTTTTTTGTTTTTGTTTTTTAAATTTTATTATTGTTTA